AATATAACCCGCTACACTTACAGGATAACCCGCTACACTTACAGTCTAACCCGCTACACTTACACTCTAACCCGCTATACTTACAATATAACCCGCTACACTTACAGGATAACCCGCTACACTTACAGCATAGCACGCTACACTTACAGTCTAACACGCTACACTTATAGGATAACCCGTTACACTTACAGCATAACACGCTACACTTACAGAATAACACGCTACACTTACAGGATAACACGCTACACTTACAGCATAACACGTTACACTTACAGTCTAACACGCTACACTTACAGCATAACACGCTACACTTACAGTCTAACACGCTACACTTACAGAATAACCCGCTACACTTACAGCATAACACGCTACACTTACAGCATAACACACTACACTTACGGGATAACACGCTACACTTACAGCATAACCCGCTACACTTACAGGATAACATGCTACACTTACAGGATAACACGCTACACTTACAGGATAACCCGCTACACTTACAGTCTAACCCGCTACACTTACAGCATAACACGCTACACTTACGGTCTAATCTGCTACACTTACGGTCTAACCCGCTACACTTACAGGATAGCCCGCTACACTTACAGCATAACACGCTACACTTACAGTCTAACACGCTACACTTACAGTCTAACACGCTACACTTACAGGATAACACGCTACACTTACATTATAACACGCTACACTTACATTATAACACGCTACACTTACAGGATAACACGCTACACTTACAGCATAACACGCTACACTTACAGTCTAACACGCTACACTTACAGAATAACCCGCTACACTTACAGTCTAACACGCTACACTTACAGCATAACACGCTACACTTACAGGATAACCCGCTACACTTACAACATAACACGCTACACTTACAGCATAACACGTTACACTTGTGTAACTTGCTACACTTCCAGTGTAACACGCTACACTTGCAGGATAACCCGCTACACTTACAGGATAACCCGCTATACTTGCAGTGTAACACGCTACACTTACAGGATAATCCGCTATACTTACAAATAACCCGTTACACTTGCAGTGTAACACGCTACACTTACAGATAACCCGCTACATTTACAGATAACACGCTACACTTACAATCACAATCATAGATACGTGTTATGCTGTAAGTGTAGCGGGTTATCCTGTAAGTGTAGCGTGTTATCCTGTAAGTGTAGCGTGTTATGCTGTAAGTGTAGCGGGTTATCCTGTAAGTGTAGCGTGTTATCCTGTAAGTGTAGCGTGTTATGCTGTAAGTGTAGCGTGTTATCCTGTAAGTGTAGCTTGTTATGCTGTAAGTGTAGCGTGTTATCCTGTAAGTGTAGCGTGTTATGCTGTAAGTGTAGCGGGTTATCCTGTAAGTGTAGCGTGTTATCCTGTAAGTGTAGCGTGTTATCCTGTAAGTGTAGCGTGTTATCCTGTAAGTGTAGCGTGTTATCCTGTAAGTGTAGCGTGTTATCCTGTAAGTGTAGCGTGTTATCCTGTAAGTGTAGCGGGTTATGCTGTAAGTATAGCGTGTTATCCTGTAAGTGAAGTGTGTTATGCTGTAAGTGTAGCGGGTTATCCTGTAAGTGTAGCGTGTTATCCTGTAAGTGTAGCGGGTTATGCTGTAAGTATAGCGTGTTATCCTGTAAGTGAAGTGTGTTATGCTGTAAGTGTAGCGGGTTATCCTGTAAGTGTAGCGTGTTATCCTGTAAGTGTAGCGTGTTATGCTGTAAGTGTAGCGTGTTAGACTGTAAGTGTAGCGTGTTATGCTGTAAGTGTAGCGGGTTAGACTGTAAGTGTAGCGGGTTATCCTGTAAGTGTAGCGGGTTATCCTGTAAGTGTAGCGGGTTATCCTGTAAGTGTAGCGTGTTATCCTGTACAGTCTACCATGCTACACTTACAGTCTACCACGCTACAATTTCAGTCTATCACGCTACACTTACAGTCTACCACGCTACACTTACAGGTTATCACGCTACACTTTGAATTTATCACGCTACACTTACAATCAAAGAGATCTGCAGTTTATCACACTTGGTTGCACTCACAAAATTGCACAAGAACAAAATAACACTCATAAAATTACACAAAATTCCACAAAATAGCACTCACAAAATTGCACAAAATTCCAGTCTTACAAACTCCAAAATTGCACAAACAATAACGATATTGCACTAACAACACTTTCATTATCTACTTTCAAAAACTTACAATCTGAAACAATATGTTACAAATCAAACTCCAAAATTACACAAATCTTCAAAATATACTTAGCATAACTAATCATATATTCAAGGCAAGCTCTAGACTTTTTAAAATGTTACAAATCTTCACAAAAAACATAGCATAACTGATCATATATTCAAGGCAAGCTCCAGGCTTTCAAAAATGTTACAAATCTTCAAAATGTACATAATATAACTGATATTATATTCAAGGCAAGCTCCAGACTTTACAAAATGTTACAAATCTTCAAAATTGCACAAATCTTCAAAATGTACATATAGCATAACTGACTCCATTAACTCTACCCAGCAATTTCTCTTTCACAATCTTCAAAGCAAGCTCCATACTCTCCAACTCTTTATAAGCAAAATTTACAGGTACAAAATTCCAGATTCTCCAGATTTCACACCTCTTGCTTTGCAAATCTATTGTGTACAAATTAGATTTAGTTCAACAGAAACGATACATTCATAAATTGATAAAACCAATTCTACAATTAGATTTAGTTCAACAAAAAGGGATAGCACAAAAGAACATCAATGAACTAACCCTAACCCCCCAACCCCGACCCCGACCCTAACCCTAATCGAGTATATAGAAATGAGATTTCACACGAAATCACTCCTCCTCGTCATCGAAAGAGATCCCGAAGCCAAAATCATCAAGCATCTTGTTGATCGTTGAAGAATTGTAGTGTCTCGTTGGAGAGGGTGGAGGTGTGTCCGGCTGCCTCGAGATCCGTCGTGGGCCTTTTCAAGACATCAAGCACTAAAATCATGGGCCTTTCTTCCTTTCTTCTTCGATTTCTTGGAGGGGGCATGAGAGGTGGGATCGGAGGAGGAAGACAAAGCCTTGAGGAAGGAGGAAGACGAAGACCCGAGGAAGAAGGAAAATGAGGAGAGAGAGAGGGGGTCTGGTTTAAGTGGGGGTATTGAAGGGTATTTTAGGGTTTTTATCATGTTTGGGTATGAATACCAGTGTTGTATATACAGTATTTTAGAAATTGGGTGTAAAGGCAAAAACAAAAAGAAACTTGGGTTTAAGAATACAAAGAATAGTTATTGGGCTTAGAGGTAAAGATGAGTAAACAAATGGGCCTAGAAATAAAAAACCCTTAATTTATAAGAAAACTCGATTAATTAACAAACTAGGATTTGCACATGGGTTAAACTTAATTAATAAATTAAGAATAAAATTAACATTTATCCTAATGATCATGATCATGTTTCTAATGTAAACAACAATAAAACCATGTAGATCTAACATTTGTTTACAGTGTAATATCAAAAATCTAATCTTTTTCATATTAGATTAAGTTCTAAGCATCATATCTATCGTATTACTTCATAAAAACATGTTTAGAAACTATGGGTAAGGTTTGGATGCAGATGATCTTGCCTTAATCTCGTGTGCAAGCCTCTGAAACAAACAACAAACAATCCAAAAGTACAAACAACTCGTTCTCCCTTGTCACACGTCGATGATCTCGCCATCGCGTCAGTATTTTGCTTCAAAAAGCTCACAAAACTCACAAGAAATTGATCTAGGGTTTTGAAGGGAGAGGGTGGCTGCTAGGGTTCAGAGATATGATAAAAGAGAATAATTTTCATGAAAAACACAAGTATTTATAGAGGTAAACCCGAAACAAACCCGTTTGACCCGAACAAGGAAACCTAGTCTGACTGGGAAAATAACCTTCGGTATTTTTGCTGTAACTTTCTCGTCTGACCTCGGAATGAGGTGATTTAAGATTTGTTGGAAAGCTACTGAAGATACGTTGTTCTTGCTAGAATTCAAAACTCAAATATTAATCAGATAGTAAAAAAGTGCTACTGAAATACATTGAAGATCATTAATGGATAATCAATAAATATTTGTCATTATACAAAAGAACATCATGACCATGGTACCAAACACAAGCATTGCTTGGCCCTCACATAAAATGTTCTGTTACTAACGTCTTAATAAAATTTTCTGCACCAGTTAAGGCAGTTAGTTTAAAAACTTAGCTTCCTTGAGCTCATTTCTCCTCAACAATCACAATCGATGCCTCTGGCATATGTACATAGGCTTGTTACACAAACTCTAGAAGGAAGGATATAACAATCATGTTTGATCAGAGTTCAATTTTCATGTGGCTTGTGGAGTAGCGGACCTGCATGAATACATTGTTAAAGCAAATGTTATTTGTTTCAAAACCATTCAAATTAACTGATTTATACATATATCAAACTATCCATATATTTATCAACTTTTTAACTGTTACCTACCTTGGAAACTATGGGAAGAGAATGTAGCTTCCTGGATCTGCCCAAGTCCCATTTGAACAACACTCTGAAGGTCATCTTCCCAAAAAGCTCCAAGCTGAAATGAAAAGCAAGAAAAAATAATTAAGAGCACACATTGACATTCTACATCTGGGCTCTTGGTTTCCAATTTCAAACAAAATCTCTAGTCAGTTGGTATTGGCTGATAATTCTTGGAAAACAAAGAAAAAGAAAATTATACCTGAGAGGCAGGAACAGCATCTGTGAAACTGTCTAGAGGAGGCAAGTGCATGCTGAGGCATCGGCTGAGGAGACTGTTGGAATCTAAAGAATTGTTCACAGAGCATTGAGTCTCAAGGCCATTGCTTGCCATGAAGCAAGTGCTCTGAAGAGGAGGAGCATGTTCCTGCCCCTTGGTATGGTTTGCATAAGAGAACCCAGTGCTTGCAACCTCTAATGGATAGGATGACTGATTCATCTGAAATTTTTAAAGACATGGAATTGTCATGTTTAATTTAAGGATGAGACTCTCATCTATTTCGTTAAGTTGGTTGAGTCAACAAGAAAATAGCATAGGCCCTCAAACTCACGTCTTTATGGAGGAGCCTGTCCATGCTGAAGTCTAGTCGGGGATTCACTGTTGCCAGTTTCATAGAGAGGAACTGCAACAAAGACGAGTTGAGGTTGAAGCTTGAACCAGAAATCATTTTACAAATATATTTCACATACATGATATCTACAAATGTTGATGTTATTTCATTGTGCTTGTTAGAAATAAAAAGAAGTGCAAGAAAATTATACCTCGACTTGTCGCTGCAATGACTGGACATAGTTTATGATTTCGTCAAGCATCACAGCTTTCCCAATTACCTACAGATTATAATAGAAATTGAATTTTAAGGTAATTATTGTTCAGATTATCTCGTCAATATGAGGGATATGAAGGGGAGGATGAATTACCAACCTTATTGCAACCTGGAACCAGGTCTTGAAGAAACTTCATCCTCTCGCTAATCTTTTCTCTTCGAACCTGGTATAATGACAATCCAAATTAAAACTGTGCCTAGAAGCAACTAATTAAAGTTTTTTTTCCTCATCAAGAGGGTCTTAAGTAGTATTCTTAATTAATTACCCTTTCAGCGAGGCTGTGGCTATCAGTAGCTTGCCCTCTTCTTGCCCTGACATGGATGTAATCTTGCTTGGGAGGCTCTTGGAGCTTCTCATTGTTATTCTCTTTATCCCTGTCTTTGTCCTTGTCATCCTTTTCTTGCTTTTGGGCAGATTCAGTACTGTTAATTGCCTTCTGTGTCTTCTGGGCATCATCATCCCTATTATTGGCCCTTGCCTCTACTGCCACCGATAATGATCTGCTTCTCTTTGAATTTGAATTGTCCTCAGCACCCTGCGAAATGTATAATTAATGCATGGAAAGGATATTTTCAATAGACAATGATGACTTCAAGTTAAATCAGAACCTTGGAAGAATTAGGGTGAGAAGCTTCTTTGGCTCTGCTGCCGCCGCTGTTGCTTCCCTTGTTGGACGAAGCCGTTGATGATTTTCTTTTCTTGACAATGGCCACACTCCCGCTGGGTGGCGATGACTCTTGTTGGGAATTATTGTTGCCAGAGCCAGACCTCATCATCATCATCAACATCACGTCATTCTCCAATTGACCTCCTCCAACACCATCATCCTTGCCGTTGTATGAGGTTGCCATTCCATTCAAAGACTGGCTGCTCGATTCCCTCGACAGCTTCCCAGGCTCTTGGGTCCCAAATTGGGCATAATTGCTCCTGGTAGCTCCGAAGCAGGAAAATCTGGCCGCCCTATCAGCGAATCCAGGGTCAGCATTAAAAGCGATGGGATTGTGACTAGTCTTACTTGGCCGAGGCAATTGGAGTTGGGGATGATCCATCATTGAAAGGAGGTTGAGCTTTGGAGGGGAATTCAGAGGAGTGCTATAACATGAAGTGTTGGTGCTCTGTTCTTCACCACGATTATTGTTGTTGTTCCTGTTGTTGCTGCAAATGCTTCCTAGCCGTCCGATGAGCTCTCGGATGACGACGCTATCTGGGGTTGGAGAGGGAATGGGATTTGGGTTGGGGTTGGAGGAGGTGGGCGAGGAAACAAGGGAGCTGAGAGCCGATTCAAAATTGGCGGTCTGTTCGGTGGAGGATTGATCCCAATTAAGGTTGAGGAAGCCAGAGGACTGATCACCCATGTTCGCATTCCCATCAGAATTGCTGCCATTCATCTCTACTATCGGCAGTGAAGAGTTGTGGGAGTTTGATTGCCAGTTGAAGCTGCTGAAAGACCCATCCCTTTCCATTCTCAGAAGACAGCTTTAGATAATAAAATAATGAAGAAGAAAATTGAGGGGGTGAGGAGGAGAATAGGGGGAGGAAGTGACGCTAGTGATGCTTCCTTGCTGGTAATACTAGAAGGGAATAATATTAGAGCATTGAATCTAAGGTGGAGCAAAGGGAAAGGAACTGAAAGGGAAAGGACGTTGGATTCTTATTTCTGAAGAGAAAGTAACCAGAGAAGAGAGAGTGGCAAGCGGGGGGTAGAGGTTAGGGGTGGAGAAAAGGAAAAGAATTGTTGACCTTTTGTATTTATGGTCCAAATGAGAGAAGTTAATGATGGTATATAGTACTCTAATTACTAATTACATTGATGCGTGTGTAACATCTATATGGGGCACGGTGTCACCGTGATTAACGGTAGAGAGAGGACAGAAGATGCCGGGCCTTGGACGTCAAACTGAGCCGTGTTCCTTCTGCTGCTGCCGTTAATGATGATGATGATGATGTTGAAGGTAATTTGAACGGGAGCATAAAGAGAATTCGCCAACAAACTTGAAGCGGAAAGAAAGCCTAAGCAGGAAAACTTTATCTAATTAAATGATTAAATGTCTAATGACATGTATATGATTTTCAAGGTGCATGTTTAGTTACCAGACCTTGTCAGACAAGATGACATTCAGAAAATATTAGTTAGTACATATTACCTTTTAAAACTTTTAAGAAATTTAGTGCATACTTCAATCTCAGTCCGGTAAGACAAACACTTCTTCTATTTAATAACATTTTTCTTTTTCATAAATATCTTTAAGAAAGCCCCTTAACTTTGGACGATTATGACAAAACCCTCCTTAACTTTTAAAATATCACAAAATCCTCTTCAACTTTAGGAATTATTGGAGAACTCACTTTAACTTTGAGATTTTAGGAAAACAACCCCCCCAATAATTTGGGGAGTTTTCTGATGAATTCAAAGAAAAGGGGGTGTGGCGTGTGGGATAGGGTGGGGGTTCTAATATTTTGAAAGTTAAGGATTTTTTTTGATAATTGTCCAAAGTTAAGGGCATTTTCTGTTTTCTGATATTAACCCTACCAGATTTATTGGGAAAATGTTTTCCCATATCCATGCAATGCAAAAGAAGCTTTTGAAGTTCAGATTATACAAAAGAAATTACATATTAAACAGTGTGCTTCTTTTGTTGGGAATTTCATATGTTAGTAATAATATGCCACAAAAAGGTTAAGAAAGATCATGGACTTAAATAGATGTTCCGATCAATAACTTTCAACATAAAGTTTTAAGCAAGTTTTATTCATAATTTTTATTTACTAAGGTCCAATAACAGCCAGTTGAGCAAGCATGTGGTATTGGAGCTTAGCTTGTGACCCAAGGACGAGCGAACTCCAAATTGAAGGTATTAGAAGAATGGAGAAAATAAAGTTAGCCAATCGACACATGATTGCTGGCTAAGATCAAGTTAGGTAGACAAAGTCTAGTTAATGCATGTACAATTATGTATGTTTATAATCATGTTTGCACCTACATGGTTATTGATTTTGATTAAAAAAATCTAGTTAATCCATGTACTATTTATCGGAGTCAGTTACATAATGATTTCATTTAAAATTAATTAGATCATTTGTAAGAAACAGAAATTGCAGTGCAAATTTGAACTCAAATAAAAATTTAACTAAGTTTCTTATCGCATTTCTTCGCTCCAATTTTTTTACATTAGCACAAAAAGATTTTAAGAAACTTTGCCCCAATAAAATGATTCTCAGCAGTGAAGAACTTTTGGAGGCTCAAAACAAAAGCTTAGTGTTTTATTATTATTATTATTATTTATTATTATTATTATTGTTTTTTATTTCTGATAGAAAAGGACATGTTGGTTAATTACTTGCCAAAGTTTCCCTCACTATATAGAGAGAGGGTAGGTTTGTTGGGACGGAAAGTAGGCGATTTGAAAAAGGAGAAAAGGAAAAGTAAAAGGAAGTTGGAACATTAAGCTTTGGAGTCTCCTGGGAAAAAAAGGTGAAGGTGTGTTTTATCACCGAACAACTACTAATTAAACGGATGATTCTTTTAGGCCTCATCTTGACAACCTTATTCTACACAAGTGCATCTGGATCGCTATTGACAGTCACATGCCACTGCAGTTTAATATATTTATTAATGGTATCAATTGATTTAAATATATTTGATTTGTTTGATGTGAGCTTCCACCACCAATCTCCTTGCCTCCTCCATTACTCTACTGCTAGCATTTAATATTGTAATCCATTACAAATGTCCACTTATCTTATTATAATTTTTTCTTAAGCAATATTCTTTCTTTAAGCTGGATGAATTATGAGCTTCATATGAATTTCATCTCTAATCATTGGAGTCAAAGGACGCGATGGCCGGTGGAGGAGGGTTAAAAGGTCAGAGTTACTTAACTGGAAACACCAAGGCCAAAGGCTAATAATATTTTATTATTTTAGGTTTCGCTTGGATAACATGGTGTTTTTCGTGTTATGTTTCTGTAAAAAAAGCAACATGGTGCTATGTTTTTCCCATAAAGTATTTTCAAAACACCATGTTGAGTATTTTTTTTCAATATTAGTTTGACCTATTACAACATTAGTATTAAACATATTATTAATATATTATACATTAATTATAAAAAAATATATTATAAATAAAATGTTATAATATTTAGTTTACATTATAATATTATTATAAGTATTCATATAATATTATATAATATTGTATAATGTATTATAATATTATATTGTACTATAATAATTTATATTATTTTATTATTTATTTTACTATTATTAATATAATATTATACAATTATTAATAGAATATAATATTATTAATAATGTTAATATTATTTTATTACTACTACATTATTAATAAATTCATATATTACAAATATTTTAATATTATATAATATATTATAGTTTCTAATATGTTAGAGTTTATTAATAATACTTTAATAATTTATGATATAAATCAATATTATTATATTATGAATATATATATATATATAATATATATATTATATTATATATATATATATATAATGATATATATATAATATATATATAATATATATATAATATAGTATATATATATAATATATATATATATAATATATATATATATATATATATATATAATATATATATATATATAATATATATATATATATATATATGAATTTTAGCCAGTAAATTATTTTAGTATTAAAAATCATTTTCCTTTATAATATATTAAATTAATTAGTTGTATCAATTTATTAATATTTTTATCTGTATACCATTAAATGAATTATATTATTTTATAATTATTATTATATGTATAATTATTACATATTATGGTTTAAATAATTAATATTTAATTATTTTGGTATCATGAATTATGCTCTATTGTATCATACTTCATAATAATTTTTTTTAAATAATATTTTTTTTATTAATAATTATACTATTTATTAATATAATGTAATATTAATTAATAATGATTAAAATTATTTTATTGTTTAATAAATTTATATTATACAAATATTTTTAATATCTATTATAAGTATATTATAGTTTCTAACTATGTTAGAGTTAGAAGTTTAAATTAATACTATAATAATTATATGATATAAAATTCAATATTATTATATATATAACATATTATTTTTAACATTATTTTACTATATTATTATCATAAGATATTTTTAATTTGTTAATATTTATAATTATTTAATAAATATTATAATATATTAGCATTATAAATAATTAGTAATATAATAATAGTATAATATAATAAGTATTTTTATAATAACTATATATTAATTATATTTAATATATTATGGTAGATATTATATTAACACATCCTCGAACTTAAAACCAAAACACCAAACTTAAAACACAAAAATAGTGTTTTGAAATAAGTGTTGTGTTTTTGGTTTGATGATGATTTAGCTAAAAAAACACAATGGTTTCTAAATGCATAGTGTTTTATTTTTGGTAAAAACACCATGGAAATAAGTAAAACACTATGTTATCCAAATTAGATGTTTTTATTTGATGGTTATCAGGAAGTATATCATCTTGTAATATTTTATGAGACACATTTATGTAGGACGTAGCCCATACAATATCTCTTGTTTGAGTAATAACAAACTCTCATTTGGTATTAATATTTGTTTATGATGATATAGTACAAGTAAATATAGGTATAAGAAGTGTACAGCGCGAAACGACGTGAAAATCAGCTCAAAAGTTGATTTTAGCCTTCTAACCATCTACGGTAGGCATTCACTACCGATGGTAGGAAGAGCTCATGGATAATTTTTAGTCTATATGCTTTCATATCATTGATGGTCCTCTCAACCATTGATGCGGCTTAGACACTATTGATGGTTAAGAGCCATCATCAATGGGTAAACATGCTAATTGCAGAAATTTTAGATTTAATCTCAGTCGTTCATTATTTCTTTTTTCTCCAATCTCTACAAAGTTTAGGATATGTCTTTCCTGACTTATTGAAGACTTAATATTATTGAAAGATGGGGAGGGTAGAGGAGAGTTTTAGGTTTTTGATTTGTGAGAGATTTCATTAAAGGATTTGACCCTCGAAGCCTCAACAAACTCTCACTCGTCGCGCACAATATCTTAAGATCATTTCAGCATAGAGAGTTACCTTTAGATTGATTCTCTACGTCGTTCTTCATTGAGCTACGCTTATATTCATCGAAGGACAATTTGCTTAACAAAAGGACTATAAGATCTTTCTTGGTTTTGAGCTTTAACTATTTGTGTTGGTTTTAAGTTTGAACTTGTTTTTATGATGTACTGATGTCGGTTTAAATTGAGGGTTGGGATTAGCTAAGGTTAGGTGTTACTCGTTATGGAGAGTTAGGTCAGACTACTAGTTTTGGGTAGATTTGAGGGTACAACCTTACTGAACGGAGTTTGTATTTCAGGAGAACTCTTTGCATAATGAAGAAGCCCCTTTGCTAGAAGGAAGAGTCGAGGTAGAATTATTATGTGAACCACTAAAAAATGTTATGTGTTCCTTATTGGTTGTTATTTATGTTTGATTATCATTTATCGCTTTTATCTTATCTTTTTCATTGAATATTCTGTGTTTTTGGTGAAAAACAGTAGCAAGTAGCAACTCCATTCACCCTCACAAGCTTGCATATGAGTTCTATCAAGTGATATCAGAGCCTCATTACCCATCTTTAAGATTCACAATCTGGAGTAAAGATGTTTAGTTTGACCACTGCGATAGCTTTTCTTGAGGGA